TATCACAGTACAAAGATATCACTGATGTAGATGAAATGAAAGTTCCAGACTGTGCTGAAACTTTTATGACTCTCCTGTTAGTTATAACAGGTAATTATATCTATGGGCATTGCTCTTGTTTGTAATGAACCATAAAACACCTTCAGCTAACAGATTTCTTTACTAAATACTTTACTAAATATTCATTGTCAGCAGTAGTCACCAAATAATCTTGCAAAGTTGTAATGTTTGCAGTTTAATAAAAATTTCCTGTTAATTTTGTATTTTGGACACTAATGCATGAATAATCTTGACCTAGTAACATGTTTGCAAAATAATAATTATAAATATACATTTGATATTTACCATATTCTCTCATAGTTGGCAGAATATAATTTGTTGCAATTCAGTAGTAAATTCTAATAGTCCTTTTGAATCTATGTCAATTCAGAAGCTATAAAAGTAGCTTCTCTTTTTTTGCAACAGTACATAAGAGCAAGTGTGTTTTCAGGGGAGACCATTGCATCTTCAATGGCTTTGTCTTTCTCTGTGTGAGGATGCTTTAGGGACCGTGCTGGAGGGTGTGGTATTACCACACATTGCTTCAAGTGTTACAGTACAAACTGCTCGTGGAATCAGGAGGGGGAAGAAAGTTGTTGCAAGTTTAGATTTTGCATGGGCATTTTCCCTGAAAACACTGAAATATTGGCTGTTTTAAGTACTGACATTTAAGTGCTGACTATATGATGTTCTCATAGGTGTGAGGTGGTGCATGTATGTCCCTGATGCCTGTGATGTTTCTTTTTGATCAGCTTTTTTTTAGTGTTGGAAACCCTAAAAACATTTTATTAATGTCTTTCCAGACAGGTATAAGAATCTTCCAACAGCTTCCAGAAAACTCCAGTTCCTGGGCCTACAGAAGGAGTTAGTTGATGATTTCAGGATACGATTAACTCAAGTGATGAAGGAAGAGACAAGAGCTTCCTTAGGATTCCGATACTGTGCAATCCTTAATGCTGTTAACTATATAGCAACAGTGTTGGCAGACTGGGCTGACAATGTGGTAAGTAAATATCCTTCTTCAGGAAAAAAAATATTTTAAAATGGACTTGGGATGTTTGTTTCATAACAAACATTTTATTTTCAGCACGTTTTAGGTGTGTTCAGGAGAATTAATTACTGAAAAAGTAGAATGAGATATAAATTTGGATTTAGTATAAATAAGGACAGGTTATTGTTTGAGGCCTAAGCTGCCAATTATTAACTTTCTAGGGAAATGCAGAGAGAACCTGGGAAATGGAATAATCTGAAGAGACCAAAAAACCTAGTCTCTTTTACATGCTTTTTATTGTAAAAAAAAAAAGTGAATTGATTTTGGAGATCTCTGAACCAAACCAGCAGCCTTTGGTGCTTGAACTCCTCCCATGGCAGGAGAGCTTAGACAGATCCATGTGTGTATCTGTGTTGCAGCACAGTTCAGGTGTGGCCCAGTGTTGTATCGTGCTTTTTGAAAGCAAAGCGGCAGCCCAGAAAGGCCACCCACTGATAACTGGGAATTGGTGACTGCCGTACAACAGCCTGGAGGCAGCACAGCCTAGTGAGGAATTTCAGCTTTTCTGCAGCTATTGGTGCTGAAGGTCAAAAAACCTTTTACACATGGTGTGTGCAGAATCAGGCATTGTGTGGGCTGTGGGCAGCCTCCAAATTCTTACTGTCTAGAGCCGTGGCTCTAGCAGGGGATAATCTTGACTTGATAGGACAGCAGCCTTCATGTTGTATAAGTGCATCTACTAGTGTCTTGATCTGCTTAAAAGCAAAACCAACAAGGTGTTACCACAATGTCACATTCATCTTGATAAACTAAATTCATTTTCTTGCTCTTGTCAGCACAGTAAATTTATGATTCAATGAATAATCATTGCTAAAAAAATTACAATTAAAGTTTACTTTTGAAAATCTTAAAGAGGCCAAGGTAGGGTTTTTTAAAAGCATGCTGCTGTCAATCTTAAAATATCTTTTCAGTGTTTCTTTAGATCTGTTCCCTTTACCTATCTGCTGTTGCATCTGAAACCTGTATCAGTTCCATCACTAGGATTAAACTACCATGTTTTGTTTTTCTCTAAATCAGGACCACAGGGAAGGATAAGAAAGTGGTTTTAAAACCTTAACTTTTTAACTTTATAAATGTGCCAGAGGAGAGTGTTTTCTACAACTGTGTCTAACAAAGTACCAATGGAAAGTTCAAGGAGTAAGATTATTTTCTGTGGTGTTTCTCTCTGGTTTTGTTTGCCTAGTTCTTCTTGCAGCTGCAGCAGGCCGAGCTGGAGGCCCGTGCAGAAAGTGACACCATGAGCCAGCTCCAGCTGGGACAGCTGGCATCCATGGAGAGCTCTGTCTTTGATGACATGATCAACCTCCTGGAGCGCCTCAAGCACGACATGCTGACACGACAAGTAGATCATGTCTTCAGAGAGGTCAAAGATGCTGCAAAGCTGTACAAAAAAGAGAGGTGATTCTGTTTATTTAATCTTTTAGCTTATTACAGGATTATTTCCTGTTAAAAATATTGAGGTTAGTAAAGGCAAGAATAGATAACAGGCAGTATTTTTTTTCTGGAGTAGGAAAGCTGCAGGGTAGTAAGTTCTGGAAAATTCTCTTTATTCTTACCTGGGGACAATTGTCATGCTGTGTTTTCTAAAGTAGCTCCACAATTATTAGATATATTAGTTTAAAACCATATGAAAGATTGTGGATCATTCTAGTTTTCTATTTTGAGTAGGAATTATTTTCTTTATAGTAGTATTGAAGATTTTATGCAAAATGGCCTGTCATGACTGTTCTGTCTTCACAGACTCCTAGGGCTTCTTGAATATTTTCTCCTGAGTAGAATTTCTGAAGTACTTAATAAAAGCAATAGAACTCAATGATTTTCAGATTAGATGGGGTTCCCTAGAATGACATGTGCAGAGATTTATAACTAAAGCATGAGTTTAATATTAAATGAAATTCAAACACAGCATTAGACTGATAACTTTTAGATTAGAAATGGGAAAGGATTGTCTCTGAAACATTGTAAATGGGTAAGATTTTTTTTAAAGGTAATTTTAACTTTACTTGTTGTAATATGAATAATTTCATTCTAATGACTGCAGTGCAATGGTTTCTTTTAGGTGGTTGTCTTTACCCTCTCAAGCAGAGCAAGCAGTGATGTCTTTGTCGAGCACGGCGTGCCCGATGCTGCAGACACTGCGAGACCGTTTGCTGCAACTGGAGCAGCAACTCTGCCACTCACTGTTTAAAATTTTCTGGCAAATGCTTGCAGAGAAAGTGGATCTGTACATCTATCAGGAAGTGGGTATCAGTGTGACCTGTGCAGTGCCATGCAGGTGTCAGTGACTGGCTTAAACAGCAGATGCACCTCTCTGTGTTTGTAGATCATTATGGCAAATCATTTCAATGAAGGAGGAGCAGCACAACTCCAGTTCGACATGAGTCGGAATTTGTTCCCCCTATTTTCACACTACTGCAAGAGGCCAGAAAACTACTTCAAGCAGTAAGTAGGCAAACTTCTGATCTACTGGCATTTCAGAAGTGAGTGTCCAGAAAAATAGAAATGTTCTACTTAAAACCAAGATTTTTTCAGTTAGTTTTGTTCCACACTTTAAATGTGTGGACCATTTATGCATCTGATGTTTTCAACTAGGAAAGTTGATTCTGCAGCATGTACTCAGACAGCAACAGACTGTGGCATGTGTCTTGGAGTATGTTGTGCAGTCAGGATGTCTAGATAAAATTATGGAAGGAATATTAAGTAGCACCTCTGAAAAAAACCTCTGAAACTGGGGCCAAAGAAACTAGTCAAAGATACAGTTACAACTGTACAGCAAACTTTATTGTTAGAAGGACTGCTTTAAACTATTTTCCTCCTCAGGATTGCCTTGTGAGGCATGAGAAGCTGCAACTTTCTTTCTGGTTAGTCTATTTCATTAGCCCACAATCTCCTAAATAGTCCAGCATCAAAATCCTCAGCTAATTGGGGCTCAAATTGAATATTTTTAAACCAACATGGAACATGGAAGGGCTTTTTGTTACACTTAAATTTGTGCTGCTTACATTAATCCGTGTAACTTTTCCTCTAGCATAAAAGAAGCCTGCATCATCCTGAACCTGAATATTGGCTCTGCCTTGCTTCTGAAGGATGTCCTACAGTCAGCTTCAGAACACGAACCATTAAAGCCAAGCCAGCCATCTGCAACAGCAGCACTAAATGAACTTGGAGTTTATAAACTGGCTCAAAGGGATGTTGAGATTCTTCTCAGTTTGAGAGCTAGTTGGCCAAATACAGGAAAATAAAGACTTCTTCAGAAATGATTAATAACTTGGTCTAGATTACTTATTCCAAGCAAAAGCCAAGTGAATATCCTGAAATATGCTTCTTTCTTTCATTTCTGTATGCTGAGAGATTGTTTTAATCTGACCTTGTGCCTTGTTCTATACAGTTCAAAGAAAAAATTCAAAATGCTACTGACTTGGTGTTGAACTGTGAAGATCTTATTTTCCATGGCCACTTTGCCATTGCATTTGGAAGCTAAAACTGTTCATCTCTAATGAATATTTTGCCTTGTCTGCATCATTCTAAGGAACACAGAGTATTTACAGTGTAAATGCATTTTTGTACAACGTGGGCTAATGTTCCCCATGAACTGGTCAGTCTTCAGTTAAACACAGATGTTTTATATCTCCAAATCCCAGGTAATGGATGTTCTGTATCAAAATGTATATAATCACTGTAGAAGGAAGGAATATGTCACTGTTTTCTTCAAACAAATTAATATAGTCTTTTACAGAAAAAACAATCGCCTAATTTTTTTAAAAAAGTTTCTCCTTATAAATTGCATATTGTGTGCTAAGTTTGAAAATATCACTTGGAAGTGCTACCTGCATTTACATGTGGACATTTGTCATAACTTGTTGAAGTTTTTTTCCCTTAAAAATACCCAAAAAGCAAAACGCAGCACAAGCCCAAACCAACTTAATTTTATTCAGTGCTAATGAGCCAACAGGTAACAATCCTTTACTGTAAACTATAACCTGAAGGAGGAAACTCCAAAATACTATTTTAGTTGCAAAAGAGATCTCTACTTTTTTTTTTTTAACCATCTAATTATATTAAGAACGGCAATTCTTAACTCTACTCCCTCCAGTGCCTGCTGGACAGGAACACGTTCTTATCACTTGTCCTTTTCAGCTGATTGCTCCACTGAAGGGCAGAGAAGATGAGAAAAAGAGAAAACAGAATATTGCTTAAAATTGACTCTTCACAGCTGACAAACCAGAAGAAAAATTGGGGAAGATGCCTGTTTTTAATAAATATAGCAGACCAGTGCTCAAACTAATACACAGACCAGCTCTCCAGCATCTTTTTCTTTCTAAAACAGAAAAAGAAAATCTCTAGTTAGATAATGAGGATAATTAGTTCCTTACCTTTCAGCAATTGCAATAGTTACTGAAAAATTGCTCCCAGAACCATACCTTGACTATGATGAATTATTTGAACTCTGAACCTATTTCATCTGCAGCTGTACTACCACCCCTGACAAAGAAGACAACAGGGTCTCACTGTTCCACATTTCTGGATCAGTGTTTTAACCCCTGGGCTGCCTGATGACCTTTGCTCTGACCTGAAGAGCAGGTACAGTGAGAAGATCCTGAAACTGAGGACCCTGAGGTGGTGGAGGGCATGTAGTGTGGTTCACCTTACAGTCAGGCAGTAACTGACCTTTTTTTTTTTAATCTTGCAATGCAAAGTGACACAGTCAAGCTTAAATTAGCAACTAAAGTATCCATTAATTATGTAACTTTGTAAATAAAAAATAAATCTCAGTAAAATATCTCCTAAGCATATGTCCCCCCCAAATAAAAAAAAACAAACAACACCACAATTTCAATTAAACTTACATTCCTTCCTTGAATACATCCAGTGTGATCTCCGCATCATCTTCTAGCTCCAAATCCTCAGTGCTCAGTCCCAAAGTTTTAAGGGCTAAAGTTAACAAAAGAGAATTTTTTATGTGAGTCTTTGGAAAGACACATTTAAATTTAAAGGTGCCTAGATCTAACAGAAGGTAAACGTGTGTAGCATAACAACATGTAACTCTTAAATCTAGGAAACTTAACCACATGTGACTTGAGTTCTCAACTTTCCAAGTTCCAGGTTGTGTGGGCAGCTATGCGGATAATTTTGAAGTATACAGATGAGTATCTTTGAAACGATTTGAATAATTGTGTGCAAGCGAAGGGTTTGGTGCGGCAGGGGTGAGACAGGCACCTTCCCTGTACTGCGCGGGCCTGATGCAGCCCTGGCCCAGCACATCCAGCAGGCTGAACATGGCGTCCACGTTGGCCTCGTCCATGAGGAACGGGTACTCGCCCTCGCCTCGCCTCCCAGCCTTGACCCGCTCCAGCACCTGGATCAGGAACTCGCGTGGCCGTTCTGCAACGAGGTCAGAGTGCCCGCGGGCAGCGGGCGCTCAGCCGGGGAGCGGAGGCCGCGCAGCCCCGCTGCCCCCGCTGCCCCCGCTGCCGGCGGGGCCGGGCCTGCGCGCACCGGGCCGGTGGAAGAGCAGCAGCGCTCCGAGGCGGTGCAGCAGCTCGGGCAGCCGGTGCCGCCGCAGGTACTCGCGGCTCTGCTCCTCGCCCGCCGCCATCCCGCGGCGCCGGGGCGGCGTGAGGGGCGGCCAGCGGCCGAGGGGCGAGCACAGGAATCCGCTGCGGGACGCTCCGCCGGGGCCAGCGGGAAGGGGGAAGGAAAAACTGACTTTCCTGGAAGTCGTCACGTTAGCACCGGAACAGACACGCCTCGCTCCCCGCTGGGCCCCGGTTCTGCGTTGGTTGGTGGGGAAATCGAGTGCCGCGCGGTCCTCGGTAACGCGTGTGCCGGCGCTGAGGCCCGCTAGTCCGGGGAATGGCGATGGCCCTGCCAATGCACACCGCGCCTCACGGGCCCGGGCCGAGAGCATGTGTCACACTCTTTTCGGTGGTGCCGGCCGCAGGACGGGTAGCACTGGCCACAAAGCAAAACACAAGAAGTAAGTGCCACCTCAGCATGAGGAAAACTTTACGCTGAGGGTGGCAGAGCTCTGGAAAAGGCTGCTCAGGGCGCTCGCGGAGTCTCCCTCTCTGCAGACACTGCAAACCCGCCCGTGTCACCGGCGGCAGGTGACCCCGCCCGGCCGGCATCACCTCCGGGGCTCCCTCCCGACCCTGAGGCTCTGTGATTCTGGGTTCTCACCTCCAGCCACCGCTCCTTCCACCCGCGGTACCAGCTGCTTCACCTGCCGCCCTTCCCCGGCACAGCCCTGGTTCATCCCCGCCCTGTGAGCGGCCCCGGGATGTTCCCAGTGTTCTGCACCCGTACGAGAGGCAAAACCAGCGGCCAGCATCTGGGAGTAAGAGTTCACATTTTAAAACCATTACTGGGTCTTGCAACACAGCCTGTGCAAACAGAGAAGAAACATCAAGGAATTTTTGACTGTACTACCCACTGCTAATAGGAGAACCATAAACAAGTAAAGCATCCCACTTAAAAAAAAATTAAGGAAATCTACAAAGATATAACTATATCTGCCATCAAATAAAATCAGACAATGATAAATGAGCATATAGTAAATAAGAATAGTATTCCTGTGAAAAGTCTAGTGCTAAATATATTTAACTATTTGCCAAAACTAAAATATAATAAGACATTAATAGAATTCACTTATTTATTTCTTAGATAAAGTGGGAGAAAGGCAGCATCCAAAGCTGCAAAGATTGCCATGTGCTGTCTGTATTCTCTGTTATTTTAAAGTGACTATGCTATGTGCTTTTAGTCTCAATTAGGGCTAGAGGAACTGTAGGTTTCTAACAGTTGCCTCTTATGACATTTGCCAGGCAGTGATGGAAGCCTCCTTTTTCTGAGTAAAACATTCCATAGTTACTCGATCCATTCCTGCATTTGTCTTTCTATGCCTTTCTGCAGAGTTTGCAAAGCATTTTTCCTAAGAAAGAGCCATAGCAGAAAGTGTGGATTGAAATGTGGAGAAGTACAAAGGGAAGAGCTGGTCAGCAGAGGAGAAATAAAGATGTGGAAAATACATTCTTGAAAATGAGAACCTAAGGATAGGAAGATTGACAGGAAAAGAAGGAGCAAGTGAAATATTGGTAGGTAGGTCAGTGTTTGGGTCAAGGAAACCAGCATTTGGCAAAGGATGTTTCTCCTTTAGTAGTGAACACAGATAACCAGTATGAAATACATGTGAAGGCTAAAGTTTTAAGAATAAGCACAGGAATTACATATTTAAGTGTGTCTTCCTGAGGAACGGTTAAAAAAAAATCACTAAACAGAGCAAATCCCAATTTGATTTACAACTAGAAATGTATTTTTAAAAATTCTATTTCACTATCAAGGAAGCACAATTTATTTACTGGAAAAAACATTCTGATGATGAATCATGTATTTATTATTTACCTAATAAATTATTATCCTCAGTTCATATAATGATAGTACCAGCTATGGATCTCAAAAGTATGATATTTCAGGATAATTTGGAAGGAGCTCCCATGGGCTATTGTAAGGGAAACTTACAATACTTCTGGCGGCTGAGAAAAACAGGATTTGACAAACACCTGAAAGTATTCTGGTTCCATTATAGAGATGCTGGTAAATAAGTTTTAATAAAGAACTAAAGGACCAAATTATTTTTATCTGTTTAAAGTGTCCTGGTTATATAAATTAGATTTTTTTAAAAGGCTTAATACCTGTTGTGGTAGAAGCTCAGCCTTCTACAGGATATCACTAGTAATTTAAGCCTTTTATCTAATTTAATAGGGCTAAATAGACTACAATGAGCCTTTAAGAGTTGCAATGAAGAGAAACAGGGACTGCAGGTCAGATATGCAGCTGGTTGCAGAACAACCATTTGTCTTGCAGGGGAAAGCAGGCAGATGGACACGTTCTTTCAAATGGGACTGAAGTCTTGGGCTCTGAGAAGAGACAGAAGCAATACAGGCTGGGAAGGATCCCTAGATGTGCCACAGGTTTCCTGAGCACACAGCTGCTGAGAGCAGCTCCTTGAGGCTTTTCTTACCCCTGCTGCTCCTCAGCATGAGCATTGGGAAGCACTCTGCCAGGGGGCAGAGGCTGAGCTGTAGGGATTGGTGCTGCCATTGCTGTAGCTGCTTTGGAAGAGCTCCACTGCAGCTTCCCTCTGTGTGTCCCCGAGGAGTTCCAAGGTACAGGTGAGTTCCTCAGCAGGGGCTTCTGTACTATACATTTACAGAGGAAAGTGATCAACTACAGAAGTATTGAGCTTCTGAGTATTGATTATCCCAACAGCCAAAATCACTTTTTTTTTTTTTTTACTGTACAGAACAGCAGAATAATTAAATTGAAATTGTCCTCTGGAGATCATGTGGTCAACTCCCTTTCCTCTTCAAACTGGGCTAATTTCAAGGACTGGCTCAGGTTGTTCACAGCCTTGTCATGTTTTTACTGTCTCCAGAATGGAGACTCCACTACATCATTTGTCCTGTGTTGCACAGGAATGGTACCAGCCTGTGTTCTTGAATCAAGCCCAGCTTTTCCCATAGGCTTCTAGAGATGCAGGATAAGCAGTCCTTCACTCAGACATCCTGGGGAGCACCTCACTGCTCAAACTATGCTCAAAGCTCCGAGCACAGACCTCTCCAGTTAAAAACTGAAGCAAAGGCAGCAATGAGTGTACCTCTGTCACCTCCCTGTCCTCTGTCACTGGGTTACCTACCACATCTACTGGGGCCCACATTTTACTCACTTTTCCTTCCATGTTAATGTACTGGAAGTGTCCTTCATATCCCTTCCCAATTCCAGCTCCAGCTGAGCTTTGGCTTTCCTGTTTCTGTTTCAGCATGCCTGGGCAGTGTTTATTCCTCTAGGATAGTCCCCCCCTGCTTCCACAGTCTGTGCTTGCCTTTTGCCTCTGACTTAGTCAGGAGCTCTCCGTTCAGCCATGCTGGCCTTCTCCCATGTCTGCTCAGCTTCCTGCAGATCAGAATGGACTGTTCCTGAGCTTCAGCTACCACTCCTGGGCCCTTTAGGTCAGTCTCCTGTGGGATTCTGCCAACAAAATGTCAGCAGGAGACAAAGTCTGCTCTCCTAAATTCTAGGATTGCAGTTCAACTATTTATCTTCCTCACTTCCCTCAGAATCATAAGCTTTGCTCTATTGCAGTCGCTGCTGCCAAGGCTGCCACCAGTGTCAGTGCTCCCAGCAGCCCTGCCTTATGTGTGAGCAGCGTGTCTAGCATAGCCCCACTCAGCTTGTTGAGCCCTCCTGTCAAAAAACTGTCCTTGATGTACTGCAGAAGTAGCTGGATCACCACTTGTGCCATCCCAGTCCCCTCTACAAGAAGAAGAGCCCATAGCCATCAGTGTAAGCTGTGAATATTGGCTTTTTTTTTTTCCTTTCCCCCTGTCAGCTGTAAAATAAAGGCTAAACCTGCCATCAGAAATCATGTACTGGGAAAATAAATCAGGAATTACAAAAATACTTATTGTTTCTGAGTCAAGGAGAAGAATAAGTCACAATATGCCTAGACTGATGTCAGAACACTTTACTGTAACAGAACTGTCTACTTCTCAGTTGGCTGAAAAGCCACAAAACAGATTTCCTGGAACTATGGTTGGACTCCTGCTGAAGGAAAGGGGGAAAAAAGAAGTTACTTGAGCAGGAGCCTGCATTCTTTGAGGTACACAGTGTATTTTCATGTGTAAGTATGGCTCTGAGCCCATAGCTCTTCAAAGCAGAGAAGCTTTTATTCCAGCAGTAGCTGTCGAATGAGTTCACACTACACAGGGTGGGAGAGATCAGAGGTCCATCTCCATTTCCATCTCCATTGCCTCAGTGTCTCTGACACTCCACAGTTCAAATAGACATTCTGAGCAACAAAAAGGTGGGCATGCAGTTAGGAAGCAGAAGTATGGATTGTGCATCTCCAGAGGTTCGTGTTTCTGAAGAGTAACCCCTGTCTTTTCCTGTACTTGATAGCAAATCCACACATCCACTCTGCCTGTTGTCACGTCAGCCAGTGCTTTGTAAAAGCAGAGTTACCAGGAAGAGCACTTGTTGGTGTTACAAACACAAATCCTAAAGAAAAGTAACGTGGAAGGAGTAGGTCAAGGCAAGATTATAAAAAAACAAAAACCCCAAATGCCCAAGAAACCACACCACAAAACCCCCCTACTGACTATGGATCAAAATAAGAGAAAACTAAAGAAAAAGGATAGCAAATAATTTCAATTTAAGAGCAGAGCTGACCAGAGGGGAAGGTTCCTTGTGTAAGCTGTTGAGAACAGCTTAGAACTGAGGCAAGATATCTGTATCTATATCATCTATATCTATATCTATTCTGCAGCTGTGGTGGAAAAGGCAAAGAGGTTGAGCCTGTGTAGCAATTTCCCAGTAGTGACCTCACTCACCTGTGGCACAGTGCTCCAAATCAGCACTGAGGAAGTTTCCCTCTGGGAAGGGATGATGGTTTCTCCTCTGCAGTGATGTCTCCTCCACCACCATTTCACCTGCTGCCTCAGTAGGGCCAGGCTGGGAGCGAGCTGACACAGACACGGGACTCCCAGGGCTGCACTCGTGTTCATCAGGTGACTCTTTGTACTTACACCAAGAGGCCTTCACACCTGTGGGTTCTGTAAATGCACTTTGTCCATGATAGACAGCATTCCTGAAAAACTACCCTGTGGTGTCACATCAACCACATTAGCAACTGCTCCAAGTTCATCAAAGCCAGACTGAATTTCAGAGCTCAATGTGTCATGTTTGGGAAATGGGCAAAGGGCACAGCTGAAGGTAGTGCCCCATCTCAAATCCCCACTGATGTTCTTACCCTCAAATCAAGCTCTCCTGGAACCTGATTATTATTGCTGGCAAACCTCTCCCAAAGTTTCTCTTCTCCTTTCTGTAGGGACAATAGATCACAGACTAGAGCCAAATATTTTTGGGTCAGCCACAAACAACAAAACCCCCACACAAAAGAATCCAGCCTGTGTCATTTGTGGTGCATTACAAAATGAGAACAAGAGCTCAGCACCACCATCCATGGATCCTCCAGGCTAAGGGCAGACCGGCACGTGCTGCTCAATGATCATCTCTAGCTTTCTTCTGCTTAGGAAAGTCTTTTAAAAGAGATCTGCATTTCCTTTGAATAGTTGCTTTCAAGAAGTATTCAAGGAGCAAAACAGCATAGAAAGATTTGCATGAAATAAACATTCTTGTGTTCTGAAGTCTGAATGTGTTGTATGACTCTCCTCCAAATATTTCTGGAATCAGTATTTGGCATTTTTTCCAATTGTGAATCCTGACAGATTTGGAAGAATAAAACAGATCCTGGTTGCACACAGCAATGACTTCCTTCTAAAATAAACAGTTGCATGGTAAAAACAGAAGCATAAAAATGAGAGTGCAATGAATAAAGAAGTTACAGTGTGATCTGCTTCCCTCTAAAATGGGTGGCATTTAGAGCATGTTAGAGAGTATGA